GGTGACACCAAAATGACTGACAGTCATTTTGGTGTCACCCCCCTCTGAAAAGTCGTGCACTCGGTCAAGGACCAAGAGCCCGACAGTTGCTTGAGAGAGGAGGGGACCTGGCGTCCCCTCCTCTCTCAGGTAACAGCGCATGACGTCATCCCGCACGTGCACGATGACGTCACTGCGGGGTGTCACCGGTACTCGCACCAGGTGTCACCCCGCCTTAGGACGCCTCTGGCTTTTAATAGCTTCAAGTGGACAAATTCAGTAATGGCGCCATTGTAACACTTCAGGTGTTTATTCCCTCTCACAGAGATCACAAGACTCCCCCTGACAATGTCTTCATCTGCTTTTCTCCCCAGGATGGCGCCATCTTTGTTCAGGCATCATCCAGGATCGCCATCTGGGGTGCTGGCCCAGAGATGACACAATCATATAAATCCTAAGCTGTGTTCACAAATGTCTGACATAGATCAGACATGCTACAAAGTTACAATGTTGCACTCTAATCACTGGGGGAGGGGAGACTGAGGAAATTCTTTCTCCTGCCTGCAGCAGACTGATCACTGGGGGAGGGGGGACTGAGTAAATGCTTCGTCCTGCCTGCAGCAGTCTGATCACTGGGGGAGGGGAGACTGAGGAAATGCTTCCTCCTGTCTGCAGCAGTCTGATCACTGGGGGAGGGGAGACTGAGGAAATGCTTCCTCCTGCCTGCAGATGTGCGCGCGGAGACTGAGGAAATGCTTCCTCCTGCCTGCAGCAGTCTGATCACTGGGTGAGGGAAGACTGAGGAAATGCTTCCTCCTGCCTGCAGCAGACTGATCACTGGGGGAGGGGGGACTGAGTAAATGCTTCGTCCTGCCTGCAGCAGTCTGATTACTGGGTGAGGGAAGACTGAGGAAATGCTTCCGTCTGCCTGCAGCAGACTGACCCCTGGGGGAGGGGAGACTGAGTAAATGCTTCGTCCTGCCTCCAGTCTGATCACTGGGGGAGGGGAGACTGAGGAAATGCTTCCTCCTGCCTGCAGCAGTCTGATCACTGGGGGAGGGGAGACTGAGGAAATGCTTCCTCCTGCCTGCAGCAGACTGATCACTGGGTGAGGGAAGACTGAGGAAATGCTTCCTCCTGCCTGCAGCAGACTGATGACATCATCTCACCCTAGCAATGTCACTGACTGGGCCTCAAGGATGACTTTTTAATGACAGAAGGTGGAGCTTTTCTGAAAAATAATACTGCTGCTGTATATCAGGGGTGGGCAACCTTGGCACTCCTGCTGTTGATGAACTACAAGTCCCATGAGGCATAGAAAGATTTATCATTTCAGGAGAGATCAGATTACACAGATGATTGACTTAGTAAAGGGACCCTCCTCCACCTCCACCTCCTTCGTCATTTTACACAGGCTGCCAACAATCATGCAGTGAGTGCTTGCTGTTTCCAAACGGTTTTGAAAGGCTTTGAGTCAGTGGCCCGGAACAAGTAAGCAGATCAGGTCTTCTGACTTTCTTCTGACTTTCTGGATCTGTATACTTCTTCTGGGTCAGTGACTAAAACTTTCAGTGCCACCGAGTCAGCATTAGTGCCAGGCAAGTAGTATTTTCAGAAGGGTGACACTGGTGGCCGCTACATGGTTTTCTCAGGACTAGTTTGATGGGTCAATGTAGGGATAGTTGTCATGACCCACACAGGTGGACACATCTTGGTTTTGGCGTGTACAGCGCGAGCATGGATCCATTATCCTGAAGCTGACTTGTGGCGAATGCAAACACAGTCCAAATGCCGCCATTTTTTTAGGCATTGGGAGCACATGGAAAATTCCAAGCTTGCGCTGTCATATTTTGCTAATAATATTTAATGTGTGTACATGTGGTCACTAGAGGGCGCACAACACTAATTTTTCTTTCTCTCCTTTCTCAGGTTCATAGTTGACCCCTCAGATCATCGAGCTGTCCAATGTTCTGCTCCAAAAAGAAACTGCTGCCGTCATGTCCAAATATTATCACGCCGGATCAAATCCCATCATTCTTCATCCCCCCAAAGCTGTCCTCGTTACCAGACAGAGGCGGAAATGTTGGGAAGTGGTTCCAGAAGAAAGCTTCCGACGTGGGATCCAAGTCCACGCCGAGGGCTCTGCTGAGGTCAGCCAGCCGTCACGTCATTGAGGTGGAAGATGTAGAGCAGGAAAGAGGCAGTCCGAAGCAGAGTCACGGTTCCACCATGGCGGCCACCATTATGGGCAGTCCATATCTGTCGGAGAGCCCGCACACCCGGCGAAGGGAGTCTCTGTTCCACCAGATGTGTCCCACACATGGACCTTGTAAGCTAAAGCTGCTCTCTCCATCAGATCCAGACTGTGTCTTAAGCTGGAAGGCTTCTTCTCACGACCTTCATTTGGTGGCCATGGAAAGCGACACCACGTCTTCTACAGAGTCTTCCCCATTTAGCTCCCCGCTTTTGAACCGGTGTTTTGACAGGCGTCTAGTTGGTCAAGCCTCCGGCAGGCAACCGGCCATTTCTCGCACCCTGACCGTAAAGACGTTGACGCGGGCCAGTTCCCTGTCCACCGAGGAAACCAGCTCGACGGACAACAGTCCCAACCTGCCCACCAAGGAGGATCATGGGAACCCTCGAGCCTCGATGGTCCATCTGGTCCCACCACCCATCTTCCACCTAGACTTTATCTGTTGCCAGGACCGCTTGACCAAAGAGACAGAGGTGGCTTTAAGCAAGGGTGGCCTTATCCGCTTGTCCGTCGAGTATGTGAAGGAGTTGGGGCGTCTCAGGGTGAAGCTAGTCAATGCCGAGAACCTGTACCCCTTACACCAAGACCCAAAAATCATCAGCTGCTGCGTCGTGATGTGCCTCATGCCGGGGAAGCTGCAGAAGCAGAAGAGCACCGTCATCCGCCGGAGCAGGAACCCCATTTTTAACGAGGACTTTTACTTCGAAGGCATCGAGAAAGGGGAACTGGACCAACTCAGGCTGAAGGTGAAGGTGGTCAACAGAGGAGCAGGCGTGAAGAGGGACATCTTACTGGGGACCAACGAAATTCAGATCTCTGCTATTCTGCCTCAGTGACATGGGTGGGATGGGTGCCTTTGGTGTAGTTATGGGTGGGCTGTTTCTGGGTTACAGTGAAATAAAATATTTATATTTAAATAAAAAGCTGCTTTGAAACACTGGTGTGATCTGTGTGGGTGTGGGGTGTGTGTGGGGGAGGGGGGGGGGCTGGGGGAGTTATAAATACACTGATGTATAAATATTTAGGGACTTATGAGTAAATGATTTGCCCAGTCTACTGCTGAGCAAATGCCATTCTCATGGTTTTTTTCTGCCACTAGATGGAGCCGAGGAGCATAGAAATGATGCTCCTTGGCTTCATCTAGTGGCCAAATGATGTGCGAACGGCATTCACCCAGATATACGCTGGGTAGAACCTCTTACCTCTTTATATACAATAAAACACACCCTGCATCCTTCACTGCCTATTTGTAAATTTACTGACTGATCTGCTTAAAATAAGCGGGTTGCAGGTCCTCCCTGTAGAATGAATTTACCGGATACACAACTTGGAGGTAGCACTGTTTTGCAGAATGAGTTGGAGATGCTCATGCAGCTTTCAATACACGCCAAAAACATGGCATGTCATATAATAGGCTTAGGGGACTGACTCCACATACAAGTCAATAAATAGAATAAAAACACCACTAGGTGGCGCCCATGACTTACTCATTATAGTCCCATATAACCAGGTAAGGAGTACACCACTAGGTGGCGCCCCTGACTTACTCATTATAGTCCCATATAACCAGGTAAGGAGTACACCACTAGGTGGCGCCCCTTACTTACGCATTATAGTCCCATATAACCAGGTAAAGAGTACACCACTAGGTGGCGCCCCTGACTTACTCATTATAGTCCTATATAACCACATAAAGAGTACACCACTAGGTGGCGCCCCTGACCTATTCATTATAGTCCTATATAGCCACATACATAATGCATAAAATAAAACGACACACCCATATATGGACAATCAAATGTGCACAAAAAAATCTGAAATTTAAAGTACACACATTGCATTGTTTGTATGTATGAGATGTATATACTTCAACTCTTATTTTATGGCTTCCTGATAAAACAAAAAGTCCTTTGGCTCAGACATAAAAACTTCCGACAGGCAAATAACCCAAATTCTCCTTGACAGATTCTTGTCCACAATTGTACAAGCCCGCCCACTGTGACAATGTTGGTTCTTCTAGGGCGAGACCTGCACTAAGATACCAAGCCAGGGGTTGGTATCTGCTTGATTGTGATCTGCCCATTGATCCCAGCAATGTGAAGGGTGGATGGCAACCCCACCATCCCGCCAGTTCCAGACTACCCCCTCTCAGACTTCGGGCCAGAGCGGCAATGTATAATGCAGAGCCAAGGGTAGTCCTAGGCTTCTCCATGGCTCTGACCTGGCATATGACACAGCCAAGTGGAGACCGGGAAGGACTTTCTTCACTCTGCTAGAGCAGTGCTCCCCAACCTTTTTATCGTTAACCGTTTAATAATTTTACCGTGGCCCGCTGAGGGGGGGGGACGTTGATTGTTTATATTTTATAATATATATATAATTATTATAAAAAATTATAATATATATATATATAT